CGATACAAATTTTGTCAGAGATCAGCCCGATTGAAGAGTAAAAGATTGTCCTGCACTAACAACTTAACTACTAATACTATCCTCCAACAAAAGATCATAAATTAAATCAGAAAGTTTCTCGTACCATAAAACTGGGTGATCAAGAGTTAAACTTAATGTGGTTAGATGATGAGCCACCTTATTCGCATCTTGTGATCCAAAAGAGATTTTCCACTTTGTGAAGCTCTGTAAAATTTGGCGTGTATCATCAAAGAGATGTCCAAATGGCCCATTATGCGCTGCTACTTCGGTTTAGTGCTTTTTAGTATTGATTTTTATATTTACGCAAACAAAACAAAAACAATTGATTTTAGTTCAATGTCATCCCCAGAACTATAATAATCACATTGCATAAATGAGAACAATAGTGTTTCATATTACATAGGGTTAGAGTACATTTTATACCTTTTAAATTTGAAACTATTTTTAAAATAGGATAGGAAGTTTCAACTTTCTCATATTACATCCCAATTATTGAAATTGTATTAATTTGTATCATTAGTATGATTGATGTATGATAATTCGTTGAAACTGATGGTCGGTTTAGCTTAATACTCTTATATGGGTTATCATGTAAACCTCATTTGCACCACATTAACCAAAAAACTTATCAATTTAATAGATGATGTAGAAGCTCAATGAGACAAGAGGTGTAAATTGTTACAATTTCAATGCAATATTGGAAAGTTGAAATCTTATGGTCCATTTTGAAGATCACCAAAAACTTAAAAGGTATAAAATGTAGTCAACCCTATTATAATACTAGGCAGACTAGATTTGTAGATCAAATTTTATAAACTAAATGATATAGATATTGATAATTGGATTATTACTGAAGTGTTGATTAACATGTTTATTTTTTTATTGATGACACTTTATTTAATTTGCAAATTTAATCTACTTAGCATTATAATAAAAGCCAATGTAATGGGATTGTGCTTTTGACTAATCCCAATTAAAAAGTGGCTTTTTATCTTTATAACCATGCCCACTCTTGACCCCTTTTGACTAGTTAAAACTCATTGGAAATCACATTATTTTTTTGTAACATTATTATTGCATCCATGAGTATAACGTTTCCTTTTAATATTGCCTTGCCAACACTATTAATCCGTCTTAAGCATGCTTAGTTTCTATTTTAATTACCTTGGTGCAAGATATTTTGAGTTCAAATAAGGAAAATAATAAACAAATATTTTTTTACCCGTTCACAAACTGCTATTTAATCTTGTCTGTTGTTTTCGTTTGATTTATTTAGCCTCTCATACAATCTTTCCCTATTTTTCAATCTCAAATTAATCTTTTTTCAAGTGACTATTCCACTTAAGTTTGGTGGATTTAGAATAAGCAAGAGCACTTAACAATCTGCATTTTAATGATGTTCTGCATTAACCCCAACTCCACAACTTTAATTACTCACAAATTATAATCGAGCTAAAAACTCACTATACTCTCAAACAAAGTAAACATGAGTATTCTATTGCTTTTTAATCAAAATGATCATTGAGATTGGTATAACTCCTCATTTTGATATTTGTGATTTAAAATCAATAGAAGTGGTCCCTGAAATTGTCTATTGTCAATCATTTTGGTCATTCTGTGAAAAATCTTCTTTAAATACAAGGCAGTTTTGTTAAATCTTCTTCTCCACTTGAACTGGTGGCTTCTTCAATTTAAAATAGATTTTTCATAGAATGACCAAAATGATTAACGGTGGACAATATCATAAACAACTTCTATCGATTTTAAATCTCAAAAACTAAAATGTAAAGTTAAGATAATCTCATTTACCATTTGCCTATTATAATTATAACTTTTATATTCGAACTTTGTAAGCAAAATGCTTTTGTCGTTGTGAAAAAGCTTGCTTGCTTTCTGTGTCCATGTCAACCAATCAAAATCCAAAGAAAGCATCTGATCCCAAGGGCCCTTGTTTCTTCCCTCCATTCAAAGCCCATCCTTCCTTCTTCCTTTTTTGGAATGGAATCACTACTTTTGGCTTCTGTGGGCTGCATAAACACTGATTCTTTGCCTTTCATCTCCACTCCTTTCTTTTACAACATGAATATTCAAAGAAATACTTTACACATATTATCCTTTGTTGACACAATGTATATGCTATCTTCTTACATGTATGTTAAGTTGCATGATACTTGTAAGGGGCTAGCGATTTAAGTTGGTTATGAGCTTTCGTTCCTGTGTTTGAGATGACCTTTGTTCGATTTATCTCTCCTTCAATATCGATTGTGTAAAGAAAAGTTGTATGATATTTTGACACTAAAACACGTTAAAATATATCTATTCATGTGACCATGAATAATTTAGGCTACAATCTAACAACATAACAAGCTACGACAGAACATTTTCAAACTCTACTAGTACTATAGTTACATAGGACATTGATAAAATTTCATGACGATAACTAATAATGTCATTAATTATGAACCACTTGTTCATCTAAAGCTTGAATTATGCAATGGAGTTCTTGAACAACATCCTTCATGGCTGGTCTCTCCCCCTTCTTTTCCCTCAGACATGCAAGTCCAAGCTCTAAGAAAAGCTTTACACTCGCTACTGTATTCCCCGAAGGCTCCTCGCTGAGCAGCCGGTGATCCACAACCTCCATAGCTACACCATTGTTGGCTCTTACTCTCACATAAATGGCTAAGTTCACGTCGTCCTGATCCCGCGAGAAATCAATGGCCTTTTGTGATGTCAAAAGCTCAAGCAGGACGACTCCATAGCTATAAACATCACTCTTGTCAGTTAACTGGTAGTTCCGATAATATTCGGGGTCTAAGTATCCTAATGTTCCCTGAGCACATGTCGAGACATGACTCAACCCCGGACTAGCCAACCTGGACAGCCCGAAATCTGAAACTTTTGCGTTGAAATCGCTGTCCAGAAGTATGTTGGTTGACTTGACATCTCTATGGTAGATGGGAGTGTGCGCGGCGGAGTGTAAATAAGTCAATGCTTCAGCAGTTTGCACGGCAATTCTGAGCCTAGTTTTCCAGTCAAGAAATGTCGAAAACTTACCGTGTAAATGGTCACTGAGAGTGCCATTGGAGATGTACTCATAGATCATCAATGGCTGCTCAGCTTCCACACAATAGCCTAAGAGTCTGACCAGGTTCTTGTGGTTGACTTGGGAAAGTATCCCAACTTCATTTAGTACATGTTCTGTGCTCTTGATGTTGCCAACTTTCGCAGACTTGACGGCGATGAGAGTCCTATCTTCGAGCTCTCCTTTGTACACTTCTCCAAAACCACCACTCCCCAAAAGTCTGTCTTTGGAGAAACCATTGGTGGCTTTCTTCACTTCTTTCAAGTGAAACATTCGAGCCGATTTCCCATCATTGTTGCTCTTCAAAATGTCCTCTCTTGCCCTGGTAAGTTTCTCCTGCTTCGAGAATTTGCAGGATCTTTTCACCGTGACTATTGCTACAACTGCGGCTACAACGAAAAATGAGATTACCCCAATCGAGACCTTTAGGCTCAGACCGGCTTTCGTGTTCCTCTTCTTCCTTGAGCAAGTGCCAAGAAGATGATCCCAATAGTACTCTCTATTGCAAAGGCAGTGTGAGACGCTCCTCGAACCAATAGGCGAACATTTGGAAGCTGAAGAGCAATCAAGTTGTGTTCTACAAATTGGTTCAAGTGGAGGTGACCATTGAATTTCCAACCCCTCTTCCCATTGGCTCGGAGGCTTGTTTATATCCAAATGAAGGATGCTTCTGAAGGCTTTGCAGCCTGAGTTGTGAAGCCGAATCTTGTATGCTGAAGGCATGCCACCGGCAACAAATGTGCAGCAAAGATTAAGCCTGTTTTTGCACTGTAGTGCTCGGTTTGTGTCAATGTGTCTTGAGCTTTCCAAGTACCGGTGACAGAGGCTAGATGGAGTGCAATTGAGAGGAGATACCAAGAGCCGTGGAGAGCAATTGTAGAGGAAGATAGTATTCGATGAAGTGATGTTGAAAGGAAGTGACTGATTCAACCAGAGGCCCTCACTCACCACCAAGTCTTGAGTAACACATTTGCCGGGCAGCCATGGTGACGGTTGTACCACCATACGCTGATACAGAGCCATGATTTGAAGCACAAGATAGTAACTTCCATTGAGGGCATCAAAGTAGAGTTTCTTAGAGGAAGGATCGCAATGGAGAGAGTAGTTGGGGTCACCACAGTCGGGGTTTGTGCTTAGGGGGTACGGAACCTTCATGCTGCCACACCCAGGGCAGGTCTTTTGGGAGGAGCAGCGAAAATCGACACAAAGGATGATGAAGAAAAAGCTGCAGAGGAAGCCTGGCATTATGTTTGCCTTGGTGACCATATTTGCATGAACAAAGGAGGAGCAATGAAAAGCTTATGGGAAACAAAGATGGGGTAAATAAAAGGATACAACACGAGGTTAAGTAGGTTGGCTAGGGAAGTGTGAATGCCTCGTTACACTAAGCTTGAATTCCACTCTCGTGAATGGAGTAGTTTAAAATATCGCTTTGTCAAAAGTTAAAAAAAGGAAACAACAAGAGAATAAAGTGGATTCCTCCTTTATAGTATGACCTCTACTTAAGGAAAGCTCTTACTACAAAGGCATTAGGGAAAACTAATGATATATCAACTTTTGTGCTTTCCATCACTAAGTTGAGGAACAAATCACTGAATTGGAGAATAAAAATCTATTAGAAAAATAAAAGAAATAATTCCATAACGTAGTGGCTAATCACATCTAGCTAGAATTTTTTCAATGTTCTGTTCTCGGATAAATGTACACGTGTATCATCGACGAGATAAGTTAGAACGATGCAGAATACAGAATTATGCAGAAAAAAACTATGTTCTGCATAAAAGAGGAAAGATTTAAGATTCATAACAAGAAAGTGACTCAAATATAAAGAAAAATCGTGAATAAGAAAACGATGATCTGATCATTCAAGGATAAGCACTTCCAAAAAAGAGAATTTCCAAAAAAGTATTTCGAGGTTCTGAATGAAACTTACAACGCTAATGATATTTGTATCATTTATGCAGGTACCCTTGTTTTAGTGTCGAACAAAAGGACACCTTTACGGTTTACAATGAAGAGAATAGCAAGATAATGTTTCCTCATTTAAATTACACAAGAGGCATGACAATCAGTAGGAAGAGCTTAGTTTCATTAACCTTCAACAATTTTTACAGGAGACCTGCACAAGAGAGCAACAAGACGAAACAATTGCTACGTATCTTCTAATATGAGCACAAAAAGTGGATAAGTAAACTTCACGGAATCCATTACTTACCCAAATGGGGTTTGTTTAATGGCGAGTAGTTCAACGTCCAACTGCAGATAAAAAGAATATACAGAACAGTGAAGACGAATATAGGGAAGGGCCCCTGAAAGAAAGGTATCAAAAAGATGAAAAGAATATAATCACAACGCGAAAGAGAACAGCGATAGAGATAGATTAGCTCCAAGAAATACAAGAAAAAATACATTTAGAATCCTACACTTTGTATGAAAGAGAATGGCAAAGGAAGTTGATTGTGAACAACGTCTGGAGTGCGGTACATACGTGTATTTATACTTATTACCATAGAATAAGCCTAAGAGAGAAGAAGAGAGATGCGGTGAGATTTGAGGATGAAGTCCTTTAGGAGATTTGTAGATGAAATTTTGTTACCTCTATGGTTGCATTTGGAGGAATTTCCTGTACTCCTTTGCTTCCATATGCTAGCTCGGGAGGAACTATTAGCAATCGCTGCAAAATAAATAATTTAAATAAAAAGGAACCCAAAGGGGTACTTATCAAGCTGAGCGCCAAAAAGGAAAAGAACGAGAGGGCGTCGTTATTGCAGTTGTTTTAAGTGATCTAGTCGAATGAGGAAAATGCCATCGACTTCAAGCTGCTATTTCCTCATCATAAAGATCAAAATATCTCCAGCACATACTTGAGACTCAAAACTATTTTTCTGTGCATAAATCAACTCCATGACAGTATTCTACTCAAGGTTTACTACTAAACAGCATAGAAGAAGTAAGAACTTTAATTTTCTTCCACAAAGTGTAAAAACAAATAAATTTTAAGCCAATAAACTAATCTCACCTGGCCTCCTACCCGCATGCCTTTTACACCAAGATCTAATCCTTTAAGGACTGATCCCCTCTCAGATTGGCCTACGTCAAATCCGTATGGCTGCAGCATCCAAGCATGAATGTTAAAAGTGCACGATATAAGAAACACACACATGTGACTCAAACAATACTGGGCGAGATTGCTTAGTCTTCAATGCCATATTTTTCCTTTCTATATCATAATTAACATATGTACACACTTAAAGCTCAGATTAAGTTTTCCTTAAACTAAGATTCCACAATCTCCAACAATTGCTTCATGGAGACAATTGAAAATCTGAAGTGATATATTCAGTGACATTTTTGGTCAAGAGTTTAAGACCAGGTTTAAGTAATTCCTTCTAAATTTATGAGCAGGTATCAATGAGAATCAGATAACTGGTGGTTCATCATATGCAAGAAGGGATGTTAACACTGTTAGCACTTTAACTGAATAAATATAACTGTTCCGAACTCCAGTGCATTTTTATTAAGCAGAACCATTTTATACATATGAGTGCAAAACAATGTTCCAAGTTTTGGTTTATGGGCAAGATGGTTATTCCAGAAGTTAAATCATATAACCGTAAAATTGGTTGCTTCATTTTATCCTAAGTTTATAAGGAAATTTGAAGGTGCCTGCTTATTTCTACATGTAAATGTGAATAGCAGCACTACTCAAATCTCACCGTTCCTCCACCAACACCAAGTCCTTGTCTACTTGTCATAAAAGTGATACCCTTCCACTTCGCAACATAATGAACCTGCAAAAATGAGGATACCTTTTCATGCTTAGTTTGGAATATTCTAGGAGACAGAATTACTTATGTATACTCAATTATTGAAATTTAACTTGATCACAACCATACTGCAACCCGGGATCCTGTCACCGCCTCAACTCCACCCCCGACCTTCAAGTCATAATACCTGAGGAGAGAAGAATAAAACCATCAGTGTATTACTCTGTATGGAAAAAGCCATTAAGTTTTCACAGATGAAGTCAATAAACCTGTTGAAACTTTTATCGATAGGAATAGTGGGTTATGAGCTAAATGCAGTACTTTGTATCCTATTATAATCAGAGACAGAGCTTCGAAAACTCTAGAAAAATTCACTCTAAGCTAGATAAGAAAATTATGAATTCGAGAGAGAATTTCTATCATCAACATGAAAGCTACAATGAAAGGCAACACTAGCTCATATACGATGAATATGGATTACAAAAGGAGAGAGACGAAATTTAAAGGGTGAGAAGAGATGTTAGAAGTAATGATAGTTTACTAACTTCAGGCCATTGGGAAGGGTTGTAAATTCACTCTCGGGTATTTTCGCTCCTCTTAGCTGCAGCAAATAAATGAATGTCACAAACTTTGAATCATCAAAACAAAGATTTCCTTCTTTTCTCCTCAAACTTAAAATGCCAGAAGAAATAATCACTAAAATATATCCGATAGAAAAGATAAAAGATTTCGAAAACGCAGTAAAATTTCAGAACTCACAGCTCTCCTACTTGTGCTAACAGCTTCAGCCCCATCACACACATAAATGCCAGCAGCTGACTCATTAAAAAAACAAGAACAAAAGTCAATATACCAGTTTATAAAGTATCATATGAAGATATAGAAAGACCAAAATAAAATAAAAAGAAAACCCAACTGGAATTACCAAGAACTTCTACTTCAATTCTGGCTTCAAAATTATTTTAATTCACTATCTTTTTTCTTTGAACCAGATGAAATTAAAGCTTAAGGAAGAAGTTAGACTAGGAAAAAACCTGAGGCTAAGAGAGTGCCAATCAAAGCCCTCCTGCCCTCAAATGGTGTAATTTGGTTGGTTGGTTGTGCAGAATCATCTGAGGAAGGCAGTGAGCATTGACATGGCAACACATGTGACTTCCTCTTGGGGAATCTCTTGCTGTTGCCTGTGAAGAACCCAAATAAAATTGGTAAATTAGAAGTCTCAATGCACCCCAAAAGACAAGCTTTTAGAGAGAGAGAGAGAGAGAGAGAGAGAGAGAAAGGTACTTGTGATGGGTTGTGGGAAGAGAGGCCTGTGGAGCAGAGTTGGGTTGTGATGGTGATAAGGAAGAAGGAAAAGCTCCATGGTGCAAATGGTTAGAGTGACCGTTGGAGAATCAGTTGGTTTTAGGCCTTCAGCGGTTTGGTTTTTCGAGAGAGGGAGAGAGATTTTGGTTTTGATAGGGGAGAGAGAGGATCTCACTCACCCTATTTCATCCACAACTTATGGTCACAAACAAAGGTATGTCGCCCCAATTGAATATAGTTAATGTTTGTCACAAATATTATTGGAAGGTGCATTCTAGCAGGTTCAATTTTTCCTTTTCATTAATAAATTGGTGCTACAGATAGAATGACACATATTAAGTAAGTGGCACTTACGGTTTGGGTGGACACTATTTGGTTTGGAAAATTTTATTTGAACTCATATAACATCTTTTTACATCTAACTTAAACCTTAAATGTGAATTGTCCTTTTTATCTTATTGCATGATTACCATTAAGTACAAGATGAAATTAATAACAAAATAAAATTTATCAATAAACCCACACCCAAATTAAACATTACATTATCCTACGTTGGCTAAAACCCTATGTTGATCCTACATTGAAATGCTTTTTTTTTGTTCACTTGATTTCTATTTTTTATAGAGTTGAGAAGATGAGTTTTTGAGTTTCAATTCACGGCCATCAACATTGAAAGTTGAGAAGATGGGTTACAATATCTGCATAGAAAGAAAAGTTATTATTAGTCTATTTTCTATGGTGTTTTAAGTATAGACATATGAAAGCATATACTTTATGCTTATGCAAATACAATCACGGGGACATGGATATCAAGAAAGTATATGGAAGATTTCTAAACAAGTAGAAACTTCACCAAATTATTCAATTGGGATTTTATTTTTTAAATGGGTGCAAAGATAAATTTTCATTTTGAATTGGGTTTGTGAGGGTAATTTAGGTATAAAATTGGGTTTAAAGATATATTGATTCTTTCATTAAAAATAATATGGGTGTAAAGGGTAAGTTGGGTATAAAAAGTGGTTATATATGAGTTCAAATAAAATTTCCCTTTGATTTTGGTCGGTTTCAAAAGTATCAAAATCCAATCAGAATTGTTGGGATATTATTGGGATATTATTGATTTGCATATTATTGCTTTTGTGCAAGATTTCTTTCAGTGCGGTTAGTTGTATCCTAACACTAATAGTTATTTTACTATTCTTGTCTCAAAAGTGAATGGTGTTTTTGAGATTGGCCAATATCGATCTATTGTTCTCGCAAACTTTTTTATTTAAGATTATTTCCTAAAATTCAGGTTGATAGGCTTAGTCCAATTGCTACATTAACTATTTCTCCACGTCAAGGTGCTTTAAGGTAGCGTTTGGTACGTGGGACGGGACGGAACGGAGTGGGACGAGACGTTCCGTCCCACGTTTGGTACGCCTAAAACGGATGGAACGGGCTGTTCTACGAGACAAGTTTTGGGTGAATTTTCGTTCCGCCTCACCCCCCTGGAACAACTCGTTCCACATCCGTGGAACATAAAATTATAACATTTTAAGATAAAACTGCCCCTCTCCCATTGTCTCTTTCCTCAGACCTCAATCTCTCCGTCTCCTTCGTCCTGCATTCATTCTGCCGCTGCCCCTCTCTTCCCGTGGGCTTCCTCCTCATCCTCTCTAGTAGGCGTCGACTGCACCCAGCCAGCACACAGCAGCACGAACCCACAACTGTCGTGCTGCAGATTAACCTAGGTATGCGATTGATAGCTTGATGAATCTCAGTTTTTTTTTCATTGTTTTGCGTTTTGATTGAAAGTTTTCTGGGTTTTAATTAATTAGGGTTTTCTTTTTTATCTTTTGTTGCTGATTTGTTAATTATTGGGTTGTGTTAATTACTGGGTTTTGTTAATTATCAGATTTGATTTGTTAATTACTGGGTTTTGTTAAGATTTGTGCAACTGGGAGTGCGAGTGCATAGATTTAACATGCCAATTTGAGATTTCTAAATTAGAAGTGAAGAACGGAGCAAACAAATGTAAGACCCCACTGGTGATATTCGAATGCTGCTATATTTCCAATTTGAAATTTCTTAAATTCTTACTAATATCTTATGGTGCTTAGATGATATGAATTTACTGAGCATAGATTGAGGCAAGAGACACGAGTTTCGGACAATCAATTCGGGTTCATGCCAGGGCGTTCAACCATGGAGGCAATCTATCTCTTACGAAGATTGATGGAAAGATATAGAGATGGGAAAAAGGATTTACACATGGTCTTTATAGATTTGGAAAAAGCGTATGATAGGGTCCCAAGAGACATTCTTTGGAGGATTTTAGAGAAGAAAGGAGTATGAGTAGCATATATCCAAGCTATAAATGATATGTATGAAGGAGCAAAGACTGCCGTAAGAACTCATGAAGGACAAACTGAAAGCTTCCCCATAACTGTAGGATTACATCAAGGCTCATCCTTAAGTCCTTACCTTTTTGCGTTGGTAATGAATGAGTTAACAGGACATATTCAAGATGATATTCCTTGGTGTATGCTTTTCACAGACGATATAGTGTTGATAGATGAAACTCAGGAAGGGGTAAATGCGAAGCTTAACCTTTGGAGAGAAGTGTTGGAATCTAAAGGTCTTCGCCTAAGCCGATCAAAGACAGAATATATGGAGTGCAAGTTCAGTGCAAATGGAGGCCAAAATGAGTTAGGGGTGAGGATTGGAGATCAGGAAATACCAGAGAGCGATCGTTTTCGCTACTTAGGATCTATCTTGCAAAAGAACAGAGAATTAGATGGAGATCTCAACCATAGAATACAAGCTGGATGGATGAAGTGGAAGAGTGCATCCGGCGTGTTGTGTGACCGCCGTATGCCACTGAAGCTCAAGGAAAAATTTTATAAGATGCAGGTTCGTCAATAAATTATAATCAAATTCTTAATGAATTAAATTGTTTGGTGCATGGCTCACAAAATCAAGCCAATGAGGCTCAACAAGATGCATATTGGCAGCCATATGAGGAGTTCTACACCACACCTATACAGCCACCACCCTCTACCATATTTTCACTACACCATTCACCAATCATCCCTCATTGTGCCGTGAGTTTGCAAGGAGAAGAAGGAAGACAACTTGGAGCCGTGCATGCCATTCAAGACGTTGGATTGTCGGAGCGTTTCTAGGTGTTTTCTATCTTTGCTGTATGGCACAGAATGTTGGGCGGTGAAACATCAACACGTACACAAAATGGGTGTAGCGGAGATGAGGATGCTTCGTTGGATGTGTGGGCACACGAGAAAGGATAAGATTAGGAATGAGGATATCCGAGGTAAAGTAGGAGTAGCCGAAATTGTAGGAAAATTGAGAGAAAATCGGTTACGGTGGTTTGGACATGTGCAAAGAAGGCATACTGACGCTCCGGTTAGAAGATGCGACTACGGGACAGAGGTTCAGGGCCGAAGGGGTAGAGAAGACCTAGGAAAACTTTGGAAGAGACTCTAAGAAAAAACTTAGAGTATTTGGATCTAACGGAGGACATGACACAAACCGAGCACAATGGCGTTCTAAGATTCATATAGCCGACCCCACTCAGTGAAGAAGGCTTTGGTGTATTTAACACAATATGTTGAAATGAAGCAAAGCTTATTTATTGATATATCCGATAAGTTACAAATATGTACATACACATGAGTCAAAATAAACAAACAAGAGGGAGCCTTCACAAAGGTTGCTTATGAGAAGTCTCAGTAGTCGGTAGAGCCCCAGAAAGAGAAGGCACCGGAGGGGGATCATTCGGAGCCTCAGTACTGGACAGAACCCTAGAGGGAGGAGGCATCGGAGGTTGATCATTTGGAGCTTCATTACGCGGTACAGCCCCAGAAGACGAAGGCAATAAATGCCTTTGGAACAAACCCACAAACCGCTGATGATCAAGTAAAACCTAACCATCAGATTCCTTCATCTGGTTAAGCTTCCTCTTCATGTTTGTAGCATAGTCATGTGCGAGCTGGTGCAACTATTTATTCTCATGCTTGAGCCCTCTAATCTCCTGTTTGAGACTCATCACTTCAGCCGCCAATGATTCAACTTGGCGGGTTCGAGTAAATAGGCGTTGGGCCATATTAGACACAGAACCTGCACATTGAACACTTAGAGCCAGAGAATCCTTAACAGCCAACTCATCAGACCATTTGGAAAGTAGTCTGTTATCTTTGGGAGTGAGAAGGTTCCTGGCTACCATCGCAGCGGTCATATCATTCTTCATCACGGAATCCCCAACGGTAAGAGGACCAGTAGGGGATAAGAAGGATGGGCGCCATATGTTGTCTGGAGAAGGCGTGGCTGCCTCTTCAACAAGGTTCAAGTCAAAACGACGGTCGGAGGGGCCAGACATTTTCAAAGGTGTTGAAGAGAGAAAAGGTTGGACAAATCAAGATCTTAGAAGTGCAAGAAGGGAGCTTCTACTGGTGAAGATTCAAGTGTGCTTTGGAACTTAATGCCAGCCTCTATAAAAATCTGCACTCGACGGAGCTTCAGAAATCGAAGAGGCGCCTGCCCAGAAATCGAAGAGGCATTTGCTTTCTCAAAAGTTGGGCTGCTCAGAGACCACGAGGGCCGATCTCAGAAATCGAAGAGGCGTTTGCTTTCTCAAAAGCTGGGCTGCTCAAAGACCACGAAGGCCGATCTCAGAAATCGAAGAGGCGCTTGCTTTCTCAAAAGCTAGGCTGCTCAGAGACCACGAGAGCCGATCTCAGAAATAGAAGAGGCACCTGCTTTTCTTAGCATTGTCAGCACCTGTCACATGCACACTCAGCTTTGCTGAAATTACGGGCATTCTGTTGAAGATTTCTGGTGAAGTAGAAAGCACGTGAATCTTACTGTTCAATCATCCACTTTCCACACACTATCAGCTCATGGGTACTACAAATAACTTTGCCAAAGATCTCTGACAAAGTTTAGACACGTGAAGCTTGCAGCTCCCACTACATCGCTATGACCAAGAAGGGTAAAAAAATAGCAAAGAAACAACACTAACAAAGTTTAGACACATAAATTTTGAAGGTCTAGCTACCATATTATTACCCACAAGGGTAAAGGAACAACACCACTGCTGGATAATTGGAAAGTCCCTATGTGTCAACCTCTGTGCTCCGTGGCAAGGTAGACTAGCAAACATGCCCAACCTTTACTCATATTCGAGAAAACACTCC